CAGCTTGACATCCAGCTGCAACTGTCACTGTTTAGCAACTGGCAAGGCCGGCACACTTTTCGATGTGTCCATGGCCAACTGCATAAACAAGTTGTTTGTCGACCCAGCCTTACCTGCGCGCCGCTTCGAACGTCGCCGACTTCGCCTTCCCAGCTTGCGAGCGACGGCAGAGAATGCCCAGGGAAGGGAGGCTCGATGCAATACTGAGGATGGGGTGAAGGGGGAAACAGGATGAGGATCAGAAGGACAACGACAAGGAGGGGAGGGCGAAGAGAAGGGGGAGGGGGACGAGAAATAGGACGGGGACCAGGAGAAGAAAGAGGATGAGCTTGCCGATGACAAGGGGCAGGGCGATGACCACCATGAAGAGCTTGTTCTTGCTCCGCGGCGACACACGCCTTCGGCCATCCGTGACTCCGCGGCGGCGAGCAGCCCGCGGGCGGGCACGCGGCCAGGTGAAAGGAGGGAGGGCAAGGCCGCAGACAGAGAGAGAGAGAGAGGCAACACGGGGCGGGCGGCAGGGTGGCAGGGGCACTCTGAGGCAACGCTCGGTGCATCCCTGGGGCGCGAGCGGCGAGGGAGGCGCAAAAGAACCCACCGACCTTCGAGAGGCCGGACGACGGCCCGGCGCCGGGCGAGAGTCCCACGCGACGCGCCAGCAGCAGCAGCAGCAGCAGCAGCAGCAGCGGCACCAGCGCCGCGGAGCAGCAGCGCAAGGGGGACGGGCAGGAGGGCGAGCCCGCCACGGCACCGGCGACGAGGCCATCGGCAGCAAGGGGGCACACGGAGGGCGCAAACGCGTGGAGGGTGGGGGGACCCCAACCAACAAAAAAACGATGGCCCCAGCAGCGCCAGCCGCACTCCCTTCTCATGCCAAGCATCCTCGCAAATCAGCGAGGCCCCGAACAAAGAGAGGAGACTTCGACGCAAGAGAGAAAGCGCCTCGCACTTCGACGGGAGCCTCGCGCGGGCTGCGGGGGAGGGGGGGGGGCAGATTGCACCCGACGGCGAAGCGCCGCGCTGGCGGATCGGACGCCAGACCGTCTGAGGGCGCCCCGCTCGCGGTAACTTCCCCTCCAGCTGGCGGCGACGAGGGCGTCAGGGCGGGCATTGCAAAATGCCCGCGAGGTCCGCCAGAAGCGGAGCGGCCGCGGGGGGAGAGGAGCAAAAGCGCGGGCGCGGGAAGAGAAAGGGAGCATAGGAGAAAACTGCCGCGGCCGATGGCGCCGCGAAGGCCCGTGGCTCAACGCACCGAGGGCGCCGAAGACATGCCCGAAGCCATGTTGGACAACACGGCATCGCGTTAGAGGGGGCAGGCCGCGCGCGGCAAGGTCCACGACTCCCCGCCGAACTCAACGCGACGCCGAACATGCGGAGAGAAGCCACCACCGTCCCTTCAACACTCTCATTCGCCATCTTTCCCACCTCCGCTAACTCCTCCTTCATCGCCAACCACCCCCGACAAATCGTTCTTCACGACAAAATCCGCTACCTCTCGATCCTGGATGGTATGCATCAGCGCCTCTTCTTGAATGGCTTTCCACTGGCCAGAATTATCTGCTGCTCGCGTGGCGAAGTCCTCGCACGTTTCCTGTAGAGTCTAGAACTTCTGCTCAGCCTGCATCAGGTGCCCCGAGAGTCCAGGGATCTGCATGCCCATCTCTGATACGTCTCGATCAAGCTGTGTGGCCAATGCGTCGCCAGCGGACGGTACGAGCTGGACCAGCTCTTTGGGAGCCGTGGGCATGCCGTTGTCAGAGGTAATGCTGGATGACGATTAATAAAAAAAACTAGGAGAGAACGACTATAACATAGTTTTCTGCTATTTCTGCATGATTTTCTGCCTGGAGGAGGACGATAAAAAAAGTGTTCCAGCCCGCGGCCGGTTTTTCGAATCGTCATCCCGGGCGCCGCCGCGTGAACACGACCCCCGGTCATCTATGAATCGTCATCATCCATTCATTACTTGGGGGCGGGAGGCTCGCCGCTGCGGCGCCCTGAACACTGGCACTGGCTGTGTTAACCCGCTCCGGCAGCCGGGGCCCTGGGCCACGGCATGGCCCGGCGCAGCGCCTCCGAGGCAGGAGGAACACGGCCGCCGATGCACGGGGAGGCGAGCGGCCCCCCGAGGGCCAGGAGGGCGCGGCCACGGCCCGCGTTTGGCGTCTGGCCTCCAGGCACCTCGAGAGGGGTTGGGGCGTTCAGGAGCCGGCCGCTCGAGCCAAAAGGGCCACGGGCGACGGCCACCACGAGGAGGACACCGAGGGAGACGAGGAGAACGAGGAGGAGCAGGACAAGGAGGTCGAAGACCAGGACGACGAGGAGAAATAGCGAATGACGAGGAGGGGGAGGAATAGAAGCAGCAGGCGCTGTCAATGGAGTAGCAGGCATGCGATACATTACGATACGCTGGTTTTGTATGGGTGGTTGGTCTATAACGTTCGCTGCCGCTCGCAGAAGCGACGTCGCGTTCTCCTTCACGACGAATTTGGCCCCTAGA